AGCGTTTTTTGTACATCATTCATGATTTTAATGATTTTATGTGTATTAGGAGACGTTTAAATTGCATTATATGGTCATGGATAGCCTAATTTGTATCATTAAGTGAGCATTGTAATGTGAACCATTTCGAAAATGTTGACAAATATCACACAAGTCAGTCCTTGGATTCATAATTTGTGTCAGTTTATGTCATAACTTTCTGAACGCATATACTTCAAGGACTTCAAATTACCAACTATCTTCTTCCATATCAGCAATAAATCTTTGTACCACTGATTTATAACTCATTTCAGCTGACAAAAAAATAACTGATTGGGTTATTCTATTGTCACTTCTTCATGGGCTTGATAATCCATGGACTTTACTGGAAGATTTCAGCAAGTTCTGCAAATTGATTAATTAAAGTTTTTAACATTTTCGTTATTTTCATCCGATCACCCTTAAAGTGTGACCAACCATTTTTCATCGGTGAGCCACTGACTTCAGTAACGGAGAACTCTTCATTTTCTCCTCTCGATGAAATAATAGTATCAATTTTTTTTCCAGTGGATCGGCATTCATCGTCTGCTTTTTGGGAATTACTATCTTTTGCGCTTGCTTTGAGGCAAGTCTCTCCATATGAAACATACCAGTATTTTTTATTTTTTAAGTAGAGGTTGCCAAGAATCGGGGCTAACACATTAATTATATATGTTCCCTCGGACATTGGATCAAGAAGCAAATTTACATCTTCCATTAATTTTATCCTATATAATGTTGGCTCATTGGCCTCATCACACTTCTCAATGAAGGTCAAGTAAATATATACTCACATGTGACCCACGAGATTCAATGCAAATTACTTCTCAAATGAAGTAATATCATCATCATCTTTCTGTTGTTTAAGCTTCTCTTTGGTCTTTTTGATATCGCGATCAATAATGTTGTCCAGGAGCAACTTAATATAATGCTCCGTATCGTCTTCTATTTTTTTCTCCTTCCTTCATAGATCATTGAGCATTTGCTCTACAATATTTTCATTTAATGTTCCCAAGAAACCATCTTTATTGTTACCATTGAAGAATATGACATTGTAATATTCCGATCTCGTTTTTGGCGGGTTCTTTTCCAGCTGATATTTTGTGAGACATTCCCTGATACGAATCCTTTTATAGCTGGCTCAAAAGGAACCAAGCACGGTTATGACGCAGAAGAAGAGGGCGACAATGAATATAATGCAGATCAGACGGTTGTTGGTGGCAAAAGTACCGATTGGGTTATAAATGGGATTCGATTCTGGTCGTTTATGGATGTGTATTGGGAAAGTATCATATAGTGAACTTTCATTTTCTTCATCATCTTCCCATGTAATAATGTTGAACTGATATACGTTGTATAGTATTAGGCCTTCACTTACGTATGATCTCGCAATTTCTTGCTGAATCACCTTCGATTGGGATCCAGCTTCCTGGGCTGTGGTACACAACAACTCGGCCTAGTAAAGCGTAGCACTAATTAGAAGAGGAAAGAAGGGCATAATGCTATGTTTAACAAGGTAGAGATATATGCTGAAATGCCACACGTTCGATCATCACATATTTCTTCTTTTTAAAAATATTCTTTTCATTCTTAAAGACTGTTAGCTTTAACTTGGAAGTGGAAGAAAAAAGTTTGACGAAAGACAGAAAACCTGATGAGAATCAATGACAATATGATACCTACCTTCTGCTTTTCCTGGATGATGGCATACCAAAAACAACTAACACGTTCTCCATTGACCTCATTCTAACATAACAAAATGTGTAAAAATTAATATACGACCAGCATGTGTAAACAATTGAGTACATCAAAATTGTTGAACGTTGTGATGTGATGTGGTGGCCAACATCGAACATGATAGTTCATCAACGACTTGACCTGGAATAGTTATATCACTCATTCAGAATTTCAAGCACTGTAATGTGGTTTAACGTGATAGTCAACTTGGGTATCTGCTTCCAAGCCCACCTTCACCCACAGTAATGAGTACTAGCAGGTAAAAGATGGCCAACATCGAACATGATATTTCAACAACAACCTGACCTATAACAATGATGTCCTGTTCAGATTGTCAAGCGCTGTGATGCTGGTTTAACACACACAGTCAAATTGGGATGCTAGTATACTTCAAGCCCACCTTTTATATTACAGAAATAACTGATGAGATAATAATATATTTATGATAAATGAATGATACAATCGATGATACAACTGCTGAGATAATAAAATATTAATGCATTATTCATGATAAATCATCAAATGATTAAAGCAAAAAGAAGTTCTCTTACATCAGATATTTTATTACAAATAATCATTTTGCTAATATTAAATCACACATTACTAAAATAGTAATTATGACCCTTCACATAATGAAATATCACGTGAGGCCGACTTATCATGCATGATTAATTTAATTATACTTGGGCAAGTGATTGACCGAATTGGCGCTTATTGTGACTTTATATAGATCAACTGATTTATCAAATTTTTTTAAATAGTAAAAATCGAGTTTACATATGTATATAATTTAATATATAACTACATTTAAGCAACACACCTTACAGAAAATGGATGTCAAACAAAACTTATCTCAAACATCTTCTAGTAGCGGATGTAAAGATAAAAGGAGAAAGGTACAATATTGTGATTTAGAAGGCCAAGCTGATGTTATCTGTGATTTTAAAATTAATAATGCTTTTATAGTATCTGATAAAAGTCACTATTCCAGATATTAACAAACATTTAAATTTGATCGAAAAAGCATTATGTAGAAGACATTATTATAAATTAATTTTAATGCTAAAAAATCAAAATAACTAACACTTGTTCACATCCCAAGCATGATATTTATCTTTCTACAGCACAAAAAGAAGAAAAAATTACATTCCTAAAAGCATCTAGACAATTAATTAATTATTTTAAATTATCAGAGACAACAATGATATGTCATCACTGTTTGTATAAGACTGATAATGATCCGGAATATTTAGATTCACCTGATTATCAATTGCCAACTCAAAAAATGTTAAAATGAAAATATTCAGAAATTTCAAAATAGAACATATGTTTTATTTGATGATATTTTTTATTCTGAGGCAGAATTTCAACAATTAGAGTCTGCATATCATGAAGTGTATGCAGAACTTGACAAAGCAAAACTAGGTAAATAATTAATTATCATTCTAATTTTTACATACCATTATATTATTAATAATAATAATATTTATTATTATTGAACAAAATATATCTTGAAAAATTTTTTTTTTAATAAATTGATAAATTACTTTATTGTCAATAATTATATTTAACTAGCTTATTTACTTTATTTTAGAAATGACACCTCTTAATAAAAAAAACAAACTAATGGCAGGTGTATTGTATATAAGACAGATGGTGAATAATGAAAAACTCATTTTAGAACCTGAATTTAATAAAACATTGGAAGCAGCTGAACCAGCATTAAAAGGTTTCTTTAATCAACTTTATTCTGGAACAAACCCAAAAGATAAAAATAATATGACTAATGAAAAAAATAAAAAAAAGATTAGTTATTTTCTGGCAGGTTTGAATAATAAACTCATCAATGGAATTAAAGCTGAAATTGGATACATATTAGATGGTGCAGGTGCATCATCTTCAGCAATTGAAACATTTGCAGGAGCAGGTATAAGCATTAGACGTGAGACAGTAATGAGGCATAAAAAAAAGCAAGAAAATACTCATAATGATACTGTTAGCTCCTTTGTATTAGAACATGCAAGGATAATGCTTATGAATTTTAACTTAGTTGTAATTTAATTTAATGAATTTGATGTAGATGGATGATTTTATGGTGGCCAATTTTGATGATTATCATAACATCCATACTATATGTCATGGTGATACAACAACATCCTCAGATGTTCACCACTTTACTAAAAGCAGTTCCATATGATAATTACACATTGATAAAAATGTCTACAATCTTCTTTTTGTGAATTTCTATCTTTTGCACTTGCTTTGAGACAAGTTTTGCCATAAGATGCACACCAATATCTCTTATTTTTAACAAAAAATTCATTGAGAATGGTGCTAGGACTAGGGTTTGTATTCATGAATATCATAAAGGGGTCACACAGGGTCACACACTATTAAAATCAAGTGATCAACTCATATTTTAAGGGATTTTTTGCTGTTTTAATAGTGTGTAACCCCCTTAATGATATTCATGATATTCATGAATAAAAACACTAGCTAGGATACTATTAGTATATGTGCCTTCTGACATTGGATCAAGTAATAAATTGATGTCTTCCATTAGCCTCACCCTATAAATATGAATTAGTCTCATTAGTTTGCAACCATATTTCTCAATGAGGATTAAGAAACATAAACTCACACATGTCTTATGAAATTCAATGCAAATTCATTTTCAAATAAAGTAGTATCTTCTTCCTTTATTTGTTTTGAGTTTTTCCTTTGCTCTTTTTATATCATGATCAATGATATTATCTAACAGCAATTTGATTTCACTTTCCACAGTATTTTCAGTTTCTTTCTTACTTATATTACTGAGCATCTGTGTTATGATACTTTCATCCAATGTCTCTAAAAACCCATCTTTATTAGAATTGAAAAATATAACACCATAATATTCTGGCCTTGTTTTTGGCAGATTCTTCTTCGACTGGTATTCTGTGAGACATTTCTTGATTTGAATTCCATTTACAATCCATTTAGTGTCTTTCCCACCAACAATCATTAGATCTGCACCAAATTCTTCATCATCTTCCTCGGTCTCAAAACTACATTTTTTCCCTTGTTGATTTGCTAGAAATGGGCCTAGTAAAGGTTTTTTATAAATATTTATTGGTAAAGTATCATAGTGTAAATTTTCTTTCTCTTTTGAATTTTCTGGTGTAATAGTTTGCTCTGGTGTACAAATATCAGCTTTGTCATAAACCTGATCATAAAAGAAAACAGTTAGTTCATTATAATTAACATTAAAAGCCAATAGGTTGTATTCTTATTGAACTCACATTATCAGTTTGTGTTTCTGACCTCTCGTAAGATGTATAACTTGAGATTTGCTTTTCTTGCACAATAGATAAGTCATTTGAAGGTGGTGGAGATCTGTTTTTCAAATTCTAGCATCCCTTCTTCCTAAATCAAAATTAAGAAGTTTAGCAAAAGTATTTCCATATATAGTTTTGTAAAGACAACTTACCCATTGTAATTTGGATTTCCCATCAACTAATTTGGATTCAGTGTAAATGTCTCATAAATCCCAAAAGAGTTTTACCAACCTTGATTTTTTATCCACCTTAAAAAGATTATTATATATATAAGAAAAATGACAATCTCCTTGCTTTATATACAGATCTATTAAATAACCACAGATCTGTTAAATAATTGCAGAACCAACTATGGTCAATCATTCCACCCACAAGTTGACCATATGAGCTTTCCACCCAAAAACTACTACAGACAAGCCTTCCATCTTTCCTTTGCAAGCATACCACCCACAAAGTAGTCTGTGCAAGCATTCCACCTGCAAAGTAGTCCGTGCTTTCCATGAAAAGAAAAATGAACCATTAAATATGATCACCTTAAAATCACTTTTCAACTTCAAAACTATCTGACCAACTTCAGATTTTTCAGTGTAGTACTCACTGATAGTATTTAGTTCACATTGGTAATGATAGTGCTCTGTAACTGAATCAACCAAATCACCTTCCAGGTGCCGGAAATCAAAAAACTTTCTGAGTGAAGGATTGTCAGTATCCTCCCAAAAAGCTACAATCAGAAAACGATGTTAATATAGTAAAGCATTAGCATAAAAAAGTGTATAGACGGTTTTCCTTACTAGGGTATTTAGAGCATTGAGACAATCGGGGTGAAGATGCATAATATCAATGTGTTTAAAAAATTATTTTCGATACTATTTTTAGATTACGAATATTACGAATTAATTTGTAAGACAAGAATTATTAACAGTCACAGTCAGACAAGATTTCACACGATCGACAAGTCTACTGTCATAGCCAGTGTTGTACATGGGACATGTCCGCCTAATATTGAGCGGACATGGACACTGTCCAAAAATGTCCGCGTAACAATTTGCCACGCGGATGTGTCCGCTCATTTTCTTAAATGTCCCGGACTGTCCGGGACCAGTAGTACAAACCACAAGTTAAACGTGAGAAAATGCCTTTACCACCTTTATTAACTCAACATATTATTAAAACAATATAAAACTAAACCAAATCGATTCAAAAATGTTTTGTAAACATGCGTTGAAAAATTAGGAGAGGAGGAAGGGAAGAAAAAATGGTTTCCAAACAAAAAGGATCGAATAATTCGGCATTTAATTAATTAAATGATTCTATATTAATAATTTAGAGCCTTGCTTTGACAGACTCTAAACCAATTAGACATTATCCCGGAAGAAATAGAGAGAATGTTGAAAGCTGGATTTATTCGTGAATCAAATAGTGATTATGTTTCATGAGTAGTGTTGGCAGAAAAGAAGATAATGAATTACGGTTCTGTGTAGATTATTGAGATCTGAATAAAAATACTAAAAAGGTTTCTTACCCATTACCTAGAATTGATGACATATTGAAAACATTGCACGAGTCACAATGGTTCTCTTCATTGGACTTGGCTAGTGGATATTAGCAATCAGAAATGAAACCCGAAGATATTCCTAAGACTGCCTTTATCACCCATTATGGATTATTTGAGTTCAGTGTAATGCATCTTGGATTAACTAACGTCCTTCGGGACATGCTGTGGAAACCAGTGGTAATATAATTGCGTGATGTAATATACACTTTAAGACATGAGAAGAATATCCACAACATTTGGAAATGTTTTCAAATGTATCAAGATAGCTGGATTGAAATTAAGTCCAAAGAAAAATTTTTAGGACATATAATAATAGAAAAGGATGGAATAAAAATGGACTCGGCAAAAATATAAAAGGTAGAAAACTTTCCTATACCAATTAATGTCGCTCGAGTACTTTGAACACCCTTAACAGAACTCTTGAAGAAAAGAGAAACAAGAAGATTTAAGAATACAGTTGACCACAGAACCAATCCTAACTAGAAGAAACCATTCGTATTAGCAACTGATGCTTCAAATTTTGCATTAAGAGCTATCCTAGCACAAGTAGATGATCATGGAGACGAAAAAGTAATTACTTATACTGGGAGAAAAGAATTATTCAGTTATGGAACTAGAATGTCTCGGGATCATTTGGACAATTAGACATTTTCACTCTTATATTAGCGGATCATAATTAATTACAGATCATGCAACGTTATGTCAACAACTGTTCTTGGATAGTCTTTTAGAGGAAGATACAATTTTCATTTTGCAGGAACTCAATTCTGATAGAGTGATGTTATCGGAATTAGAATTCAACACTGGCTCGTTGACCGAAAACATTCTAGTTCTGAATTGAATTATTTTATTTTATGTATGCATTGCATTTCCGATTGTTATATTGTCAAATTCGATGTACTTGAAAAATAACTTTGTGATAAAATTTAATAAATATTAACTAAAAAATTAATTTCGACTAAATAAGATAAACCAAACAAAATTATTCGCTAATAAAACTAACTCGTTAGTAATAACCAGTCTGATAAATTTACGTTTGTTAATATTAATTAACCATTTAAAATTTCTTTTATTATAATTCACATTGATCAATGTAATTAATTACACAAGCATGACTGGGATAAAATTGCATCGTATGAGTTTAACTTTGTCGTTCATAATGATCTCTATATTTATGTTCATTAAGTTCATGTTTGGTAACAAATTGTTCGTCACATCCAAATACATTACATGGATGATTCTTTATTCCATGATAAAATCTTTTGTGTCTTAGTAAATCTCCTCTTCGAAAAAACGCTTTTACACATCCTAAACATTCGCATTTGAATTTTTTATTCCAAGATGATGTTTTGCATGTATTTGAAAATCACCTTTTCGATAAAAAGCACTTGTACATCCCGGATATTCACATTTGAAATTTCTTATTCCAAAATGATGTTTTGTATGAATTGTTAATCCTCCTTTTTCACGAAATGCTTTGCCACATCCTGGATATTCACACTTGAAATTTTTTATTCCAAGATGAATACTATTATTGTGTTTATGTAAATTACTTTTATTGGAAAATACTTTGTCACATCCTCGGTATTCACATTTGTAATTTTTTATTGCAAGATGATGACATTTCGTGTGTCTTAGTAAATCTTCTTTTCGATAAAACATTTTTACACATCCTTGATATTCACATTTGAAATTTCTTATTCCAGTGACGTTTTGTATGTATATATATAGTAATAAATTACTTTTTTTACAATATGATTTGTCACATCCTGGATACTCGCATTTGAAATTTTTGTTACTGCGAATTTTACTATGTTTGTTAAGTGTAAATCTAGACTTGTAAAATTTACCGCTGCACAAAAAAATCTATTGTTACTTTTATTTTTATTTACCATCCTCATTGCCAAGATTATTATTATAATCTTATCTTCATATATTTCAATTTCACTATCACCATTTGAATCATATTCACTTAAATTCTCATTATTATTATTGTTATTATGATGATTTTTTGTTTTTATCATCATTATTATCAATATATACCCAACAATCTATTAAAACAACCAAATATGAATATAAATAAATAAAAATAACACGAACTTATTAATTTTTTTAAAAAAATTAATATACACGTATACCATTTAAATTCATTTTTTAAAAACAAAATATGGATAATTGGATAAATTAAAATACTAAATAAATATCACACATTATAAAGGCATCTGACTACTAATTATTATCCTTCAATCCAAATTTTGAAGTTCAGATTTGGTGCAAGGTGTGTGCTTGTAAAATTACTTCATTGGCAAAACGCTCTGGATATCCACATTTGAAATTGTTTTATTCCCAAGATAATGTATATAGAAAGGGACCAAATGACAAAGAAAGTCTGAATGAAATTTTGAATTTTCTCAAGCGTAATGGGTATAGTTTCTAAGCTCAAAATGTTCTTTGTTAAAAATTGTTGGAAGTTACGTTTGGTCCCCTTTCTATAAAAAAATATCCATGACAAAATGTTTTTGCACATCTGATTTATTCAAGATGATGTTTTGTGTGTCACTATTTTGATAAAAAGCTTTTTGTACATCATGAATACTCACATTTGAAACGTTTTATTCCAAGATGACATCATTGAATTAATACATTTAGAAAATTAACAGACAAGTGAATCTATTTATGAGAACAGAACAACCATGTTATTTATTGATGAAGATGAACAGATAGGAAAAAAGCCCTAATGGTGCATTTAGCATGACCTTTGAGGGAATTAAGAGATTAGATAAAGGTGAAAAGCATCCGAAGATTACTTGTGGACAATTCTTAAATAATTTGTGGTTATTATGAAAGTGTTGAATTAAATTTTATGCATACCAAATTCAATTATGATGGTAGTTTTAGATATCGAAAGACAACAATTGACCGTGTGGATTATAAACTTTATTTTAAAAAGTTGGAAAAATTTCAGCATTTTTTTTTTTGAACCATCTAATCCTGGTGTTGGTAAAAGCTCAGGGGATCATCTCCCACAAGGTCGTTTCATAATTCTTTCCGAACCTTTTTTTTTTATCGCCCTACAAAAGTCGCAATACATAATTTTCATTGTGACTGCATTATTTTCAATTAACACATTATTATAAATGTTCAAAGACAACAGTTTGATATACATTATTAAGTTTTCGAGTTCAGTGTTCAACAAACACAGCTCGAACTTGATGAAGCATTTCATCCCAGTCCATTTAGCAAAAAATGTCGTATCAGTTAAATCTAAGATGTAGCTTTTGGACGCACCATTCATAATTGGCAGGATAGAGTAAGCAATGGGCACAATATTTTAATGATAATCGCAAAATCATGTATTTGCCGGTCATTTGTGAGTTGTTTAATTTTATCTCGAAACTTAAAATCCAATTATTATGATTATTATTTTCCTGTGGGTTGGAATTGGATCAATATCAAAACAGTCATGAGCACATTTACTTATTACTTATCTTGTTTTACAATGATTTTCTGAGAAAAGGTTAGGGTCTTAATCTAGTCGCCTCAAAATAATATCTTTTGCATGCATAATGGAAATTTGATTTTATTGAGCAATAATTATTATTTATAATATCAACATTACT